GGCCTTTGGGAAGCCATTGCTCATGTTCTGTAAGAGGGTCATTTAGCTACAGATATTATAATATGGTGATAACACCTTTCTTGGTGGAATTTAAATCTTTATTAAAAGCAGTGAATAAATTATGAGCTTAATGGAGAAGATATTTGCCAATTAACAAGTAGCAGCTGCTTTTCTTTCTTTTAAGGGCCCAACTGATTAAAATTGCATGCCTCATTTAAGCAAGAATCTCATGTACTTTACCTGGAAAGAGAAAAAAAGGCTGAGCATCCTTTATTCAAAGTACATGCTTTTGTGATTCATTACAACCCTCTCAAACCAAATGCAAATTATCAACCCACAGAAGCATTTTCCCTTGCTTTGTATAATGTGCACATTTCTAACTCTGTTTAGCATGAACTGCCTCCTTAAGAGAGTCTGCTTTGGGTATTATAAATACAACAATTGCATAAGGGAGCAGCAGCCAGCCAGAAGGAAGAGTAAACCTGTAAACCTAATCTTACCACCCCATAGAGTCCCATGAGGCTGAGCCAGTGTCCTGGCTGCAGGCATTTATTCTCTTACCTGGCAGTGAAACTGTCAGGAAGCCCCAGCACACCTGGCCATAACGAGCACAACCTCCTCCCCATAGGAGGTCTTGTCTAATTACCCATGGAAGCCAGGGGACTGTAATAACAAATGCCCTGGACCAGCTATCCATGGCTGCCCCTCCAAAGCCAGCTCAGCAAGGAGAAGGAACACTTGGCCTGCAGGTACAACCATTGTCAACTGATAAACAGAGAGCTAGGATGGTTTCTACCTTCCTAAAAGAGCTCCAAATGGCACACCGACTCCATGTAAACTCTGGCCCGAAGCCCCTGCCCTGGCTTTGATATGCTGATAAGAGGATCTAAAGCCCACCATGACTGGTTACAAAACCAACCATGTTCACCCTCACCTGGCAGGTTCAGGTGGACCTTCTCTGGCTAGTGGGAAATGGATCCATCTCCCAACAGACAAGAGTGTGCACCGAGGATATAGGTGTTTCTCTTCATACTCCTAATTCTGCCTCTGGGACTTAATTCATCATCCACCCATCTATTAAGTCTCTTCCACATGCTAGAGATGGCTGACCCATCGCCCCACCCTTCAGGAGCCCATAATGTAGATAAGAGAAATAGAGGTAGACAAAAATGTAAAATAAGATGCCAGACGTGCTGTTAGAGGTGGCAAGACACTGCTCTGCACGGGCGAGGAGCTAATGCATAGGGCAGAGAAGGGGAAAGCTACACAAGGAATCCCCTGAGCTGAGCAGTGGAGCAGCTGCTCCGGGGAGGATGGACAGAGGCAGGGGAGTGCAGGGGTGGTCAGGGACCTGGGTGGCTGGGGATAGCAAGAGGACAGGAGGAAGCTAAAAGGTGGCCTGGGAGAGCACCCTTTCTGGGTGCTAATTTGCCTGCAATAGGTATGCAGCCATCTATTAGCCTCACCCACCCACTCAAAGACCTCACTTGAAAATCATGTTTATACGATTTGACTGTCTATCTTATCTCTTCAAATGCTGGGCTCCCTTCGCCAGCTTCCCCTCCTGCCCTCCTCTCCTCCATGCCCTGCAGCCCCTCAGCACAGGAAGCACTCACCCACCTTCTACGGTCTGCCTTCTGTGCCTTCTCCAAGAACTCCAAGAGCTAAATCACTCCCATGTAGAAGCAAATGCTTTCACCATCACCAGATTAAGGATCTTTCCTGACCAGCATCTCCATAATTGACCATTTCACTTCAAAAGTCTCCTCTGAAATTATATTCGTTCACACCCAGCTGAGCATCATTTGGGAATGTATGCAGGGTCACCAGTCTCAGCTTTAACTAAACTGTCCCTAGACTAAGATCCAGTTCCCTGATGCCACATTTGCAACTGAAGTTACTACAGGGTTAACTTAAAATCTGAATTAAGTCCACACAAAAAACGTCATGAATAAATGCCTAACAGACGCAGTTGAGAGCCACAGAAAGTATATACTATAAGGACAAGCGACATTCCACAATGAATAAAACTGAAAAGTACCTTTACTCACAAAAGGAAGATTTCCTTTGTATAACCAAAAAAAGACTCACCTCTGTGTTTTCAGTAGATGGGCCTGAGGAACACTTATGACCATTTAATCTTTACAACGTTCTTGTGCAAAAATGACACTGAACACACACAGCTCTGAAATACCAATCTCAGAAAATATCTTCAAACTGAACGGGGACCAGAAGGAAGTGGTCAGAGAAATCGAATGGCTCTTTTGCCCCCACCTCTGTGTGGGGCTGTCCCCTCCACCCCTAGGTCTCCGTGGCTGATATCTTCAAACTGAACGGGGACCAGAAGGAAGTGGTCAGAGACATCAAGTGGCTCTTTTGCCCCCACCTCTGTGTGGGGCTGTCCCCTCCACCCCTAGGTCTCCGTGGCTGGAAACAGCCCTGTTCCTTTTTCTTCCTTTATAATGCCCCCCCTGCCCCCCGGAATGAGATTTATGTGGCAAGACACACAGCGAGTTTGTCCAGAATGGACACATGCTGGTGGACCTCCTTCCCTGAGGACCCAAGGGCAGGCAGCCTGTCCTACTGTGTGGGACCAATTGCTCAGCCCATGCCCCGTGTCCATTTCCTAGACAGGTGACTCCACCCTGTCATGATGATGTCCACTGATGGGACAGTCTTGGCACAAAAACAGCTCTCCCAATTTGTGAAAGCATAATTAGATTTCCTTTATGTTATATGTTACAGCCAAGCCCAGCCCGTAAACAATATTATCACAGTGTTTAAAAATGGAACTGTTTCTGCTTCCGAGCAAAAGACAGAATGTTTTTACCTCCAAGTTGCTGTCATCTTCATTTCTCTTTAGATGAATGAGTGCAGAGTGTTTGTATACTCACTGGTCGTAGATACCGAGACAACCGGGCTGTACTCATATTCTCCAGAGGGGCTGGTGACCTTCAGTCGAAATCTGTACAGTGTCCTTGGTTCCAGACCTTCGATGACATGCTTTGTTGCATATCCCCTAGACAGGAGACACATGCTGATAACACCAGGTAATCCAATCTGCATTCTCCAACAAGTTATGAGAATAGCAAGTGGAAGCGGGTTTTGAATACCATCTACTCCCAGTATAGATCTGATCTTGGTTCATCAAACTCCTTGAGAACAAAGGACAAGTCAGCATGGCACCTCTAACCTTAGCCAGCACCTGCCCTCTCTGTCCCACAGGGCCTAGCCCACTACCTGACACACAGCTGGCGTGCAATTTTATACTTTGGAGAAATAATCACATTAACCCATGACATTTGTCCTCAAGTGACAAAGTTTCACATTTGAAAGATAAGACAGACCATCGTATAAATGTGATTTTCAAGTGAGGTCTTTGAGGGGGTGGGTGAGGCTAATAGACGGCTGCATACCTATTGCAGGCAAATTAGCACTGCAGGGAAAGGACCTGAAGGAGTCAAGTCCATGATTGCTTGCAGCCCATGAGCAACTGCCAGCACAGCTGGGGAGTCAGGCAGCGCATCCGAAACTGAGCCACATGGCTCAGTTCATCGAGGAATGTTTGCCGGAAAGAGATGCTCAACACTTCTAGAAAAGAAATCTGACTAGAGGCTCGCAATGGAAATCCACACGCCTCCAGAGAGAGGAAGCCGAGTTAGATCATTTGGAGCCTACAAAACGAACACCAAAAAATGCAGTCAATCTGCCTGCCTGCTCAAAAGATGCTGGGATCCCCAGAAGAGCTAACGGCCCCCACCCCGCCCAGGAGGTGGGTCCCAGGGGCCTGGCTTTGACTCGGCACCTGTTCCAGGATGCCAGATCTCCAGAAGTCCACCGAGTTGTATGTTGTTCCCAGTAGTGCCCAAAACCTCAGTTTCCCTTTGCTGCCAAAAATCTTTATTGGTATCTGACTAAATTCCATGAATCCCTTTTCAAATCCTATATTTAAGTTTTTCTTTCCTCGTACCTCAAAGCCTTGATTTTTGAGAGGGGGGTGGTGAGGGCATGAGGGTGTGTGTCCTATTTCCAGCTCTTTCTTCTTTCCTCTTCAACACTCAATCCAATTCTTACTATGCTCCCTTCGGAACACCCTCCATTGCTCCTTAGACTCCAAGCTTACCACTGTTTTCTCAAATTTTTTTCCTGTCTCTAATTTTTCTTTCATTCTCAACAGATTCTCTGCAGAGGCGAGAACCATACTTTGGGATTCACAGCTAATTTTTCAAGGATGTTTATGTGCAATCTAAATATTTATGTATCAATTCCATTCCATGCAACTCAACGAAAGTTCCTAGTGCCCATTGCTTGTGTGGTGCTGAGCCAGGCTGGAGAGGTAGCTCTGCATTAGCTCAGGGCCAAGAGCAACCTTTCAACAACGAGTTAACCCTGTCTCCTGCTGATGGATGGAGTGGCAAGAAGAAGGGGGCAGTCAAGGATAGTGAGGAAGGGACAGCTGAGTCAGGCTGAAATGATAGTACTGAAATTATCATCATGACTGATAAAAGCTCGCCTGAAAACATGGCTTTAGATCTCGGCCAGGTCCGCATGCTAACACCCTACCTATTAATGAAACAGCCTCACTGACTCACACCCGACCTCACTGGAAAAGCAGTCCTTCCCCCAAGGGAGATGGCACAGCAGTGTGTGTCTAGAAAACAGATCCCACACTCGCTCTAAAGGGAGAAGTATCCCCAAGATAAAACCCAGGAGGTCACCTAAGTGCCTCTGCCAAACTCATCCATAAACAAGTAATTCCTCTGCTATGAGGGACGGGTGAGAGTGAGAGGGAGTGATACGCCAGGAGGGCGGTCCCCGGTGGAGGGGGACTCAGGTGAGCAAGTTCCATGACAGACAGGGAGATGTTGGGTAGGAAGAACATGCAACACCCAGGAAAGGCACAGTCCAGGTGCTGTCACTAGGGTGAGAGTGGAGGGTGTGAAAGAATCTGGTGCATTTCAGAGAGGGAGCTTCAGTGAAACCTGAAGACCTATGGAACAATTTTTGAAAACTGGAAAATATTACAGAGACCCTCTTTTGCTTGGTGTTTCCCTCCTTTGTCATTTATCCAAAATGTGAAATTTCAAGGTGAAATAAAGTCCTGAACACTCATCAGTTCCTTTTTTGCATGGCAGGTTACCTCAGGCACCAATATGTAAATGACTTCTTGGGGACAGCTCTAACAGAGCCAAGTAAAAGATGAAGCGTCTATAGGCACCTCTGACCACGAGTCTACGCTTCCCTGCTCTTGCTGGTAGGTTCAGCCTCCTAACAGATATCATCTTGGCTTGAAGCACATTTCTCTTCACCTAAAAGAAGTATGTTCGAATGTCAGTCAAGTTGGTCTCCAACAGTCTCTCCCCAGCCCTCAGGAACAAGTTCCTCTCCCCTTAAACAGGGTGGAATGCGGCAGAAGTGATGCTGTGCAGCTCTGGGCCTGGGCCTTCAGCTGGAAGTTTCAGCTTTTACTCCCTTGGAAGCTAGCCAGGTAAAGGAGTTTAACTCCCCTGCTGGAGAGAGAGGCCACTTGGGGAGACAGAGTCAGTGGCAGATGTCGGACAGTGAAGGGAGATAATGAAGTCCGGTCAGCTCCCTGCTGTCCCAGCCACCCGAAGTGAAGCATCCCACACGAGTGAAGCTATTTGGTTCCTCCAGCCCCAGCAGAGCTGCACCTGCCAAGACCACGAGGAGCAAAGACAAGCCATCCCCCACCCTCTGCCCAAATTATAGATCACAAAGCAAAAACAATCACGTTTGCTCAAGCCACTGATTTTGAGGTTGGTGTGTTATACAGAAATATATAACTCATATATCGTGTGTATACAAAAAAGAAGCCCTAAGAAAGACAATGAAGAAATGATACCAACAGCATTAAGAAAAACATTCCAATCAAGAAACCAAGAAAGTAGAGAAGTGCTCAAAGTAGATGTAAATACATTTATCATAAAAGTAAAAGCTCTAAGACCAAGATAAATACTCAAAAAACTACATGGGTTAAAAACTAATAACTACTAAAAAGCTAAAATACATCAGTCTGGCACAAAGTCTTATGAGTAGATGGATTGTATTGTCAAGTGAGGTCCACGAATGCTTAGATATCTGAGTCACAGAACCTGAGCCCTCAGCAATTTGTGGCACCTGAAGTGATCTGTAGGAGTTCAATGGGAATATTGCATCCAAGCCCCAGTGAGATTCAACACAAGGTGTGGAAGACTTAACATAGTTCTAGACCAAAATAAGAGCAAAAGTGCCCCCAATAAAATCCACATTTGCTAAATATCATTAAGATCACTCAAGTAAATAGCACCTTATAAAACTAGGAAAGGAAGATAACAAAATGGTTTTAGAAAACACATGCTACTCTCTGAAATCCAGGGTCAATGCTTGGTCTCTCCATATCTCTCCTTAGAAATTTCAGACCTCTCAGCAGTGGTTATGGGCTGAATTGTGTCCTCCAAAAAGATATGTTAAAGTTCTAACCCCTAGTACTCAGGATGGGACCTTATTTGGCAATAGGGTCGTAGCAGATGTAATTAGTTAAGATGAAGTCATACTGGAGTAGAGTGGACCCCTAATCCAATATGACTGATTCCTTACAAGAAGAGGGAAATTTGGACAGAGACAGAGAGAAGATGACTGCAGGAAGACAGAGGCAGGGATTAAAGAGGTGCTGCCACAAGCCAAAGAATATCTGGAGCTACCAGATGTTGGAAGAGGCAAGGAAGGATACCTCACTCTGTTCAGAGGGAGCATGACCCTGCCAATACATTGATTTGGGACTTCCAGCTTCCAGAACTGTGAGAGAATAAATTTCTGTTGCTTTAAGCCAAAAAAAAAGAAAAGGAAAAGAAAACACATGCTACTGAGCACACTTATGGAAGGCTGGAGACTCATGTCACTAGAGATGACCCCCAAAGAGTACCATAGACACAGCAGGGGCTCCGGGTCACACTGCCCACCAGGGTACTCCACAGCAATCACAGTGCCCATACAGGACAACTAATGAGAGCAGCTCATCGAGCCTCTGGAGAGGCACAACTTTACACCACTTGGACGTGGTAGCTTACAGAATGAAAGAATCTTAACACTATTTCCACAAGAGAAAAAAACACAAAAACGTAAAGCATACCCTTATTTTTGTTATGAGTCAATAAGCAAATATTTGATGCAAGAGCTGAACAAACACAAGAAACTAAACATTGCAACGCCCAAGGATCCAGCTCCCAGATTTCCCTTTCCTCTCCGCTCCCTCCCCAGCATGCCCAGCCAGACATACAGACAACCAGAAGTCTGTTCCTCTGGCCCGTTCTTCCCCAACAGCCTCCTTGACATCTCTGCTGGGATATCTGAGTCCCACACTGAGCTTCCATTCCACCCACAGTCTTCCCCATCCATTATCCAAGTTGCTCAGGCCAGGACCTTGGGGCCACCCATGAAGGCTGGATTATCATTCAAAAATATGGGGTGCCCTCCCAAGGGTTCTACATCCCTGCCCAGTGGAACTCAGACATGGCCATGTGCCTTGTGTTGAGCAATGGCATATAAGCAGAGATGAAGTGTGTCATTATGTACGGAAGCTTCAAGAAACAGAGTGCCACGATCTCCCCCTGCCACAATCGTGACCGTGTCCAGGCAGAGGCCGCTCCACCACCTGGGCTGTGGAGGAAGACAACACAGAGCTCAGCCACGGCCCACCCACAGTGGGCATTCCATGCAGCATGTAAACCGCTGCTGTCAGAAGCCACTGAGCTAGCAGCCTCTGCGGGCTGTTACATACCCCTTAACTCTCCTCTCTGTCTCATACGCATCCCATATATCTGGTCCACCAGCAACTTTTTAAACCCTACCTTTAGAGCATGCCCTGAATTGACCCACTCCTCACCCTGCTCTGCTGTCTCCCAGCTGCATCACTGCAAAAGCTTCCACATAGTCCTCCTGCTGCTTGCTGCTGCCTTGCCTCCCTGTAGCCTGTTCTCAACTCAGCAGCCCAGGGATCCTCATAAAACATGCTCATGCCACCTGCAGCTTAGCAACCACCAACGGCGTTCCCTCCTCTCGTAGTCACAGCCAAAGTTCTCTCCGTAACCCATGGACCCAAGCGGTTACCTCTCATTACCTTGCTGACTTCACCCATTACCCTTCTCTTTCTTTGCTCCACTCCTTTGTGTTCCTGGAACAGCCAGGCACAGCCCACCTCAAGGTTCTCTCACCTGCTACATGCTCTGCCTGGAATGTTCTTCCCCAGGCATCTCTCACTTGCTTCAGGTCCTTATGCAGAAGTTACCTTCTCAGTGAAGACTTCGTCTCTACCCCAGGCCCCCAACCTTTCCTCTCCTTTTTCCCCTTAGCACTTATCACCATGTGAATGCTGTGTATTTTTAGTTATGTATCTTATTTATTGTCTGTCTGCCTGTCACATCCCAGTGCCATATCCCCAGCATCCAGAACAGCGTCTGGCACACAGTAGGCACTCAATATACATGCTGATAGAATGAATGGAATGCATGATACGGGCACCAATTATCATAGGAATTTAGGGGGGCAGACAATAGGATAGTAAGGGGAGCTTCTCAGCCAAGGTAGAATCTGACTTGGGCAGAAGGAAGAATAAGGTGATGGGGAATTGTGTCCAAACAGGGAAATGGTTAAACACACAGAGAAAAAGTCAAGGAGTACTCAAAGGTAAGTGGATCTGACCGGAGGGTTTGCACTCAGAAGTAAGAGGCAACAGGAAAGGCAGGTCGTGGGCAAACTGTGAGGGCATCCATCAAGAGTGTAAGGAGCATGACCTTCCATCCTTCAAGCAATGGATATTCACTGAAGACAACCTGACAAAAAGAAGATTAAAATGAAAATTAACCCAGCAAGGTAGAACAAAGGGGACAGAAGGCAAGAAAGGAGAGAGGCCAACTCCTTCAGTCAGAAAATATGCTGGGCAGTTGCATGAGCCAGACAGAAAGAGCAGCTTGCCTCCTAGCAGGGTGAAATGCCCCAGCCTAGTGAGAAGCACAGAAAGGGCTCTACAAAGGCAGAACTCACAGAACCAGACAACGGATTGGTATGAGAGGCCGTGGAGGAGAGCCCAAGTCTAAGAGGATGGCACTGACTCAAGATTAGTGACTGATGGGAAAGAAGCAAGTCAGGAAGAAGCTTGTAAATCCACTATCCCAATGTCTAAAGAAAGGCATTGGCTAGTTTTAATGATATCTAGGAAACTTGTAAATCCACTATCCCAATGTCTAAAGAAAGGCATTGGCTAGTTTTAATGATATCTAGGGAAAGTGACAGAACGAAGCAAAAGAGGTCAAGATTAACATGGCTTAATTCTGCCACCTAGTGTCAAGGCTTGTACTGTAATTCTGAGGGGATGCCAGCACTTCAAAACCCTCCGTAGAGTTGGGGTACGCAGGCATGGCTGCCAGCTCCCGATGCCAGGCCAGCCTCCGAGGGTGTTCCCTGGCCCAACAGCAACCAGGTCTCTGGGGAGAATGCAGACAACACAGGTGTACACCAGGCTGGAAGCCCGTGCATGTGGCTGCAGTTTCTCTGTCCACCTGGTTACCCAGCAAAGGAAAACAGCCCAGAGGACAGACAGCATATCCAAGACTTCTCCACCCACCGTGCCCATGCACAGCCCCCGGTATGAGGGAGATGGGGGGAAGAAATGATGTCCTTTCCTTTCTCCATAGAAATACGTAATACCACAAATCACACTTTCAGAAGGAAACTACCCTCAGAGAGCAACACGTGACATGATTAAGATAGCATTTTTGTGTAGTCAGGTGGAAATTATTTACACATGGTATCTACATTTCAGATAATGCTTCCCCCCACCCCACACCCCCAGTATAGACGGACATTTCTCAGATACCCGAGACACCATCACTCGGGTAACAGCTGAAGCCTTCACATATACCCTGACATCTGCACCCCTATCACAATGCCACCTTGATTAAAGGGCAGAAAATCTGGACTGCGTCCATGCCAATATCCCAGTTGCGACACTGCACTTCAGTTTTCCAAGATGTTATCATAGGGGAAATGGGTAAAAGATGCAGAGGATCTCTGTATAATTTCTTATAACTGGACATGAATCTACAATTATCTCAAAATTAAAATATAATTTAAAAACATATTTACATATCATTTTTGGTATTCCTGAGTCAGAGAGCCATTTTGCAAGTGGTAAAGTTGTCAAAGGAAAGAAATAAGTCAGAGTTGATATGCAGACTAAGAGGAAATGACTTCTTGGTCACTCCTGTTGCATTCATTTATTCACACAGCAAATAACGTGAGGGCTGCCGTAGGCCCGCAGGCACTGTCGAGGAGCTGGGGAGAGAGTACTAAGCAAGCAGAAATCTTCTCAGCCTCTCGCTGGGTTTAAATACTGGTGGGGAGACAGAAAATGAACAAGCAAGCAAGTAAAATAATTCCAGCAGAGTTAAATGCTATGAGGCATATGAAACAAGGTTCTGAGATAGAGGATGCCTGTGGTGGGAGGATGGTGACTTCAGATGGCCTTTGAGGAGGGGATGTTTTATCTGAGATTTGCATGGTGTGAAAGAGCCAGGCAGGTAAAAACAGAAGGAAATGAATTCAGGCAAAGGAACAAGCAAGGCCCTGATGTGGGAACCAACTTGTCCTAGCCAAGGCTGAAAGAAAGGTGGCCGGTTTGGTTGAAGAGAGTTGCCAGGGGGACGATGATATGTCATGAGATCAGAGAAGTTGGCCAGGGGAGACCATGCAGGCCCCATTCCACATGAACAAAACAGCCTGATGGGAACCTCATCTAACTTAAAACTATCTTTTGATTCTGTCTCTGTGTTTCGGATTTTAAAAATATACTATTAGAATACTTCAGAAATGAAAGAACCTCTCAAGGATATAAAAGCTTTAATTTCCAAGTTACTGCTAATGCTTATTTTCCAAAATTTATAATTCATAAAAAAGCATAAATGTAAATGATGCTAACTTATTCTTTAATTTCAAAATAAGCAGTGGCTTTTTAGAAACAATAGAGATCTTTCTAGCTAATCAGGAAATCAAAGCGAAACATTCCACCTACGTATAAATGATGCCGTAACTGTGCATTTTGGGGTCTTCTTCTTCAATTGAGAATCTAAACCATTGCTCCTGAGGTCCTTGCCGCTTAGCTTTCTTTTCCAGATCCCAGTATAATTCAATGCTGTGATGAGTCACTTTGCCCACGACAGGTGGATGGGGCTTTGAGGACGGCATGATTTCTAAAAAAAAAAAAAAAAAAGAATGATACAGGATTTCAGGACCCCATTTCATAAGGAAGAGAGACCAGCTAAGCGGATTACAGCTGCTCAGTGACCAAACTGCCTTTCTGCACATCAGGCATACATACGTACGTCCCATTGCTTGAAGAACACCCGAAAAGCTGAAGTGCTGCAAAATTTAGCTGATGTAGTGAGCGACCACATTCCTCAGCAAGCGGACTATACCATCCCCATCAATATCATACTTCACTCATGGACCCTTCCAAAAGGCTGGTTAACATATCAAACTAATCAGGTTGTTCTTTGACTTGATGAAACTCACTTTACTGCTATAATCCTTCAGTGAACAGGCTAGTAAAAAGAGCCAAAAGACGAATGCTATATCTGGTTCAAATATTTGTAACACAGACGACAAAGTGTTGGCATCTATTCTATAAAAACAGCTCTTATAAACTAAGCAAGGGGGAAAAACTCTGAAGGCTACTAACCAGGCAAAAGATGAGCAGAGCCCAAAACAGCAAGAACAAATGGCCAATGTAACACACAAAAAGATGTTCATATTCCCTTGTTTTCACAGAAGTTGATAACAATGGGGTACAGTTTTATATCCAGCCAAACACTTAGAAAGGACATAACTATTGGAAGAGACAATGTAGGGAGAAGATACTCATAAACTGGTTCTGGGGAAATATGAATTACAGTCTTTTTAGAAAGCACTGTGGCAGCACCTATTAAAATTAAAAATAGACAGGGGGCTGGCTGGTTAGCTCAGTTGCCTAGAGCATGTTGCTGATAACACCAAGGTCCAGGGTTTGATTCCCTGCACCAGCCAGTTACCAAAAAAAAAAAAAAGAATAATAATAGACATACCTCTCTATCCAGCCATTCTACCCCTGGTAACCTCTTCCAAAGAAATCAGCACCAGCACACACAGGGACACATATGCAAGAACACTAACTACTATGGCTTTTAGCAGTTTACAACAACAAAAAGATGACCTGTTAATAAGGGACAGGAAAACAAATTATATGCCCATAACATGCAGTATTATACAGCCTTTAAAAAATAAATAAATTCTATTCTAGATGCTTTGAAAGGATACCCATAAAGTGCTGCTGAATGAAGAATCAAGGTGCAGAGAAAAACAGAATATCCCATTTTTGTAAAAGATAACAAGAGGTACAGTACAGTATATGCCAAGTTGTTTATTTAGCATGCATTTGTTCTATTTTGTCAGTTTTGTCTCCCCTGCTACATTTTCGGTTTCTTGAGGGCTGGGTCCACGTCTTACACTTGACTTACTCACTGGTTATTCAAAAGGAAAGAATCTTGTTATTTCCCTTACAATGAAGTCCCAAGCATCTCTCTGAAGACCCTGGGGCCCTCTTGCAGGGCAGCCGAAAGAATCTTGTTATTTCCCTTACAATGAAGTCCCAAGCATCTCTCTGAAGACCCTGGGGCCCTCTTGCAGGGCAGCCCCACCGAGGAAGATTGGGCTGGCCTGGTCCTGACTGTTCCAGGAAGCAACCATATCCTTTATGCTGAAATCCCAGAGATACACTATGGGGCAGCCTGAAAGCTCATTTTTCCCAACTTTATTTTCCAAACATTTAAAGAAAGCATGTTGGAATTGGATAAACCTGGGTTTGAATACATGCTGTGAAACTGAACCAAAAATACTTACCTGAAAGTGTTTTGTGAACATATAGAAAGTATCTAAATAAATTATGTATATTTCACACAATGAAATCCTATACAGCAGCTAAAAGAAACTAATGCTATATGCATCAACACAGATAAATCTCAAAAATGCATGAGTGAAAAGCACGGGTTACAGAAGGATACACTACAGTATTACATTGTGCATTTTTACAACAACCATCACAATACCATACATTATTTATAAATATACATATGTAGTAAGAGTTATAAAACACTGATGGGAAAGATGTGCACTACCTTAAAGACGTAAGGGAAACAACAGGGGCGGGGAGGTGTTTTATAGTATATTTATAAGGTGTTATTTCTCTATGCATTTAGGACATATATGGCAAAATGCTGCCATTTTAAACCTAATGGTACATTTGGGTACATTACTATATGCAATAATTATGGTATGTTTGAAATAATCATTTTTGAAAAATAACTATAAAAACGAATTATATGCACTGTTCTTACAGGGCTTTTGGTTTTCGTGGAGAAAGCAATTCTAATGCTCTAAATACTAATTAATACATGTGGGGAAAGGAACTAGTGAGCCAGACACTGACCTTTCACCATGAGTCATTCCATCTGATCCCACAATTCTGGCGAGTGAACATAATGAAGACTCACATCCTCACATCATGACACCATCGATGACTCTTTTTTTTTTTTTCCAGAGCCCTCTAAAACCAAAGACCAGAATTGGCAGACAGTTTGGGACTACCCCCAATATAACAAGAAGCCAACTAGTATTTCAGTTCCAAAGACATCTGGCCTAGAATACAACTAAAATGATAGACAAGAAATTATAAATTAATGTCAAATTTTGAAAGAGACAAACTAGATGTTTCATCATGAATTTATATGAGCAAAAAGATAACATTCCCAAATATGCAAGAGTTTCTCATGTCTTCCTCTCTACTCATCATTGATACAGGCAAATAACAAGTGATCTCTGTTAGTGAGCTTGGCACTGGCTGGACACAGATGGTCCATGGACACCAGACCTGGCCACAGGGCCACTTCCAACTGCCAGCTTAGGAGAGAGTCAGAACCCTCCCTGCCAATGATCACCCCTCCAGATGTGTTTGGAAAGTTGATTACTTTTTTTTTTTTGGGAGTGATCCAAAAGTAACGGTGCCACAGCCTTTCCAAGGCAGCGCTCAGTGTGAGTGGAGCCTGACTGAGTGCACACACGTGGTAGCAGTACATTGGCTGCTACTGAGTCATACAACTTTGCAACACTTTGCTCACCCAGGTTAGTGCACTGACCATTGATGATACCCTACGTCATCTTTACTTTCATACAGAACCTATCAAGATGCAAATCTCCACATACAGCTTTTCACAGAAAGCTAATAATACTGGACAGGACATGGCAATCAGGACATGAATGAATATTCTCATTTTGTAACAGCATATTATTTTTAGGCTACCAAAAAATAGTGGATGAGACAAAATTTGTTTTGCTTTGTGTTCTCAGTCAACCTACAGTAATATGACAGGTATGTTTTAATCCTTATAACATCATATTTGAGAAAAATTTTGGTATTTTTGTCATAACCTGCTAATATGCATATTTTAGGATGTTGATTTTAGGATGCTAAAATATGTATATCAATAGGTCACTAGCTAAAGTGCAATCATCACTATGACAAAGGAGCAGAAACCTGAAACAGCACTGAGCCTTTGTATGAGGTGACAGAAATAGCTACCAGGAGGAGAACAACAACAGCAGTGACACTGATAGGACAATCTGTGTAAGGTACTGCTTCATATATGTTTATTTAACCTTCACCACATTTAACTTTACCAGCTCCACGTGGTGTAAGGATTTTTATTATCTCCATTATGAACAATCTGAGGTGCAGAGAGATTAAGTAACTTACCTAAGGTCACACAGAAGTAGCTGGCAGAATGCAGACAGCCTGGCTCAGGAGGCCCTAACTTTTAACACCATATCATACTACCTCTTAAGAGCAGAGATAAAAAATGTAGACCTGCGATGAAAAATCTACACTTCATTAGTTTGTTCTCCAGATTTCCTCAAACCACTTATTTTAAATCAGGTTTAACCAGCGAACCAGCCTGAACCCAAGGAAATTTTTCAATGATGAACAACACATGACCCAAAAAAAAAAAAAGGAGTGGAGGGAGACAACGCAAGCCGGAGAACTGTTTGAATGAAGTGTAGGGATGCTGTACGCAAGAGGCGGAAATGAAGGCAGCTTCCTGGCAGCGCTGGGATCAGGGAGGCTGCCGACCTTCAGTAACCTAGTCCACAAACAGGAAGATGGTCTAAAAAGTCCACAGCAACCATAACTGGAGGCCGAGGGCAGAGAGGTTTGGCTGACATTCACCTTCAGGCACCCTGAGTGTGGGTAGGAAGCCAGCCGGGCGATTCTTTAGGCTTGGCAAAGAATGTGGAGGAAGAAAAGAGTCGGGCAGAGAGGTTTGGCTGACATTCACCTTCAGGCACCCTGAGTGTGGGTAGGAAGCCAGCCAGGCGATTCTTTAGGCTTGGCAAAGAATGTGGAGGAAGAAAAGAGTCACATTAATGGATAAGGGAAAGGTTACAGAACATGGGTAAGACAATTAGTGAGAAAGCTCACAGATAAATCTAAAAAGATTGTTTGTACTTGGGGCAGAAAACACACGTCATATTGGGAAAGTACTCTAAATTGAATTTACTACTAGTATACGAACAAATTCCTCTATTTGTAAATTTTATCATCCCCTAGTTTTACAGTAAAGGTAAAAGTGCAGGGAGATTAAGTGTATCTGTGACTACAGCCCTGGCTCACTCTACCCTAGGATTTAATCTATTGGCTGTATAACAAGTTAACATCTTTCCCAAGGTAACTAAAACCAACATTTTGAAAAATTCAAAAGCTGACCTTTCTTGCTATTTATTTAACCAGGATGTTTATATCCACATTTGAATTTATCTTTTATCAGTAGAAACACTCTTTTGGGAATTGTTGTCATAAATTTTATGTAAGTTTTATAAAATGTATATGACATACCCACAAATGAGATAGGGTGACACCCACTTTCGTGAAATACGCAATTCGCTTCTATGAAACTGCTTGCTGTGTGACAAGGTAGATTAAATTGCTTAAAAAATGTTGTTGTCTAAAAATCCCCCTTGGCTCTTTAGCCTCCCTTAATAGAAGTTAAAAGCTAAATATTAGCCTGCACTTAAAGAAGTTTGAATTTTGTTTGATGTTCTCCACCCAAGCTGCCCCTCAAGGTAGATTAAATTGCTTAAAAAATGTTGTTGTCTAAAAA